ATGCACTTGTTCCTAGCATCCTTGCTCCTAGTAGCGATGCCAGGAGCGTCCTAATTACTGTAGTAGTGTTCATCCGGAGTTTTGTGGGTCGAGGGGTGTTGAACAGGGTTTTGGCGTCTTGAACCAATTTGGATTTGATGGCTGCATGGGGCACCATGTTTTGATAGGTGTTGGTTCCATACCTGGCTATATTATATACAATATTATACAATGACTAGCATTCATGCCTAGACAAAGTCTGATATACAAAGGTAATTGCTGGCATCATGCAGTTGGCAAAAAGTTAGGCTCACGCTTTGGAGCAGCGCAGTTGTGCTCTTACTGTGGAGCCATGCGCGTTTTCGGGCTTGGTGGCCACTCATCCAAGACGTGACAAATGGCAGGTGTCTCGCTGCTACCCCTTCGGCCCTTCCAATTTGGATGATCCTGCACTGTCCGGGCGACCCAGGGGGATGAAGATGGTCAATAAGGAAAGGATGGTCTACTCTTTTTACTACTAGCGATGGTCTCCAATCTAAGAGTGATGGCCTCCAATCTAATGCCTCCATCCTCATGGATGTTCCCATGTTCCCTGGCTAGTCCAGCTACAAAAAAGCATCGTTTTCCCCGGAAGACTTCACCGCCCGGAATGAGTCGCCGCAGCGAGCGCGCCGCCTTTGACGAGTTCCACCGGACGATCGTTTGGAACCAGGCACCGGTCGTTTGCGCGTCGCTGGGTGGTGTTGGAATGGTCAGTGGGAAAGGTTGTCGTGTGATGCCGTTCTTTTTTCGATGAGAAAGTACAAAGAGTTCGACGCGCAGGACATTCATTTTCGCACGTCCTTTTGCGAGAAGGATGCTTTCGTCCACCGTAAATCGAGAACGGAAACAACGAAGCGAGAACCGTGCAGATGGACAACCCTTCATATATAATATAATATATATATATATAATATAGTTATATATATATATATGTGTGTGTTTCTTCTCAGGTTTGTTTTCCCTACACAAGGCAATGACGAGGAGTGCTCTGCTTTGTTTGCATATAGAAATCGATGTTTGTATCAAGCACGAGAACGAAAACACAAACCCCTAAAGCATCGCAAAACATCTTCCCGGACCTTCTCACACACTGGTACACAATGGCCTCCAACCTAGAAGCGATGGCCACTGGTGTGCAATGGCCCACACATATACTAGCTGTGCTAGTCTGCAATGAGCAAAAACCCGCTTGCCAGTTCCACTTCTTTTCCAGCTTTTTGCAGCACAAAAGGCAGTTCCACATCTTGTAGTCAGTTAGTCAGTTAGTCAAAGCACCGTAAAACGATAAGGACAAAAAACAATATCAAAGGTGGAACAGGGACATATAGGGTGTTATTGGACAACCTTAAGTGTGTTGTGCATGGTTTGCGTAACAACAGTTCAATCTATGGTAACAAGTCCTTGCTTCTAGTAGTGTCCTTGCTCCTAGTGGCGATGGCCTCCAACCTACTTGCGATGGCCTCCACCTAGTAGCGTCCTTGCTCCCATATATTCCCATATCATTGCTGAATCTGACAGTCTATATAAATTGATTGTTGTTTCTGCAGACAACTGACAATGCCAATTCCAAAGCCATGAGCATATCAGAATATAGAATAGTAGCCGCACCATGATTTTGCAAGACAACAGTCACACCCGCTTGGCATGGGAATGCGTGTGGTGGGGGCATGCGTTGCAACATGCAGCGTTACACTACTTGTAGCGGAGGGCATCCAAGAATAGTTCAGGTGCAACTAAGGCACGAAATCGGGCTTTCAGAGTATGCCAAACATTGTTGACATCATGCATTTCACACAGGAGGAAGAGACATGTTTTTTTTGGCCCGGACCCTTCGCTAGGTGATTTCTGCTGCCCATAGAGTCAGGATAATGTTGCCTCGGTTTGGTGGCAGATTAGACTTATTAATTCCAGACCAGATGGAGTTCCACCGGTAGGTGCATCCACTGATGTTGCGGGTTTGGGATAGCCCACCGCCCTCGCAACGCGGTGTATATCTAGACTGCCAGGATGCATCGGTGGTGCAGCTGGGTGATGTGCGGCGATTGCTGGAAGGGTCCGGAAGACCCAGTAGCTCCTTGTTACTAGATGTTACTAGTAGAAATTAGCTACTACTAGCGATGCACTTGTTACTAGTAGCTTCTTGTT